TCCTTCTTGAAGGTGTATTGGGCTCTCTGGACCTAAAGCCCTAAAACGCACGGGTTGGTTTAGAATAGGGTTTAGGGTTTAGGGTTTAGGGTTTAGGGTTTCGGTTTAGGGTTTAGGGTTTAGGAAGCCTGGGTAAATAGTGATAGGATCCTTTTTACGTATAGTCCCTCTTATAGCATATCATAGGATAGTATGGTATAGTATGTGCGTAGTATAGAATATATCATCCTGAATGCCTGTTCTATATATATATATATATGTATGTATACATATTTATTTTTTCTGTGTTAACTGTTTTATGTATTTGTTTATTTGTTTTTTCATTTTTTAAGTAAGAAATATGTAGAAGCCCAAAGCCTTAAACCTTAAATACCAAGTCAAGCACCATCTCCTCTTGAGGCTGTGCAGAGACATCGTCGCCTTTGAGGGCGAGCAGATCGACTGCAGCTTCCGCGCATACCCAGCAGATACTGAGACAGGATTTAGGGTTTAGGGTTTAAGGCTGAGGATTTAGGTTTTAGGGTGTTTTCCCGACGTTTAAACTTTTTTGGATACTCATAATGTTGTAGTTATCTGAGAGTTTAACCCTTTTTTTTCTCCCTGGCTTGTTCCTAAAGCCTAAACCCCAAACCCTAAAGCAAGGACATGCGGTCGTAATTCAGGGACCACTTCGTTCTCGGACCGAGAGCAAGAGATGCTGAAATTGGTACTCCCGCATGTCTCCGTTCCTGGGCCATATAGAGACAAGGCGGGACGAGGGGGCGAAGGGCGCGGGGATGCATCAATTTTAGCGTTTTCAGGGCCAGAAATGTTGAAATTGGTACTCCGACATGTCTCTGCTCCCAGGGCGGCGGCAATACGGAGGCAGATAAGACGATTGTTCCAAGCACGGCGCATCAACACGCAAAACACCAGCAAAACAACATGCAGACGTCCAACACACGTGTCTTTTGAACGCTTTGCTCTCGGCACGGGAAGTCTGAGTCCCTAGACGAGACAACTCTCAGGAGAACTTTGGGGTTAAGGGGGTTCAGGAGGGGTTTAAGGTTGAGGGTTTTCGGGTTCAGGTGTTGCAGATTTAGATTAGTAGTTATTAGGCAATAGGTTGGCTTGGGCTTTAGGGTAATAGGCTTTGCAAGTTTACCTCATCATGCCGTCCCCTATATTATATTGACCATGGCAGGCGTTGTTCTGGCTATCCGACAAAGTCGATGGCTGCACCTTCGCCAGCCGATCTTTGCCAATGTCGCGAGCTCTGAATGCTGGCCATGTGTGGTTTAGTATGTCGGGCTATACGTACCCTAATTAGCTTGTAAGTATTAGAAGTAGGCATAGCTACAGCCTACAGCTACCTTGCCTGGATCTATCTACACGGCAAGCGGAAAAGAATCATCTGCGTGCGGGGAGTGGGTAGAGAGACGATCTCAGTGTCTGGGGCTGAGGATTTTAGGGGTTTAGCGCCTAGGGTTTTTGGGGTTTAGGTTTCCGGGGTTTAGGGGTTTAGGGTACAGGGTTTCGGTGGGGGTTTTGGGCCGAGGAAGTCAGAAATGTCTCTGTGGAACGGTTGAAAGACGTTGTTTGTTTGCTCACCGCTCCGGTCTTCGAGATTTGGGCTTCACCTACATGCAGACTTGGTAGGGTTTAGGGTTTAGGGTTTAGGGTTTAGGGTTGAGCAATAAGTGCGAATATTGATATTGAGCGGCAAAACAATTCAACATCAATGGTTCGACTCTCAGTTAATAGTTGCAAGGTAAGGTATCATGGTTCCACTGCCCTGAAGCGAGAAAAGCCAGTTCATCGAACGGGACATCCATCAAACAGCATGATTCGTAGGTTTATAACATGCAGATTAACTTACAGTTTTCCGCTCCTAATGTGTACAGACATTTCACATACGTGCACGTTGCCGCGGCAAAGTAGGCGAATACCGGTGATGATACAGATGGTGATGACGGTCTTGCTGGGGAACTACTGATGATGCACACTATGATGACAGTCTTGGTGAGAAAAAGGGCATTTCCTGTGACGTGGGAACCAGCGTCTTGGTTATGTGACCGGATGGGATAAGGTGAATACATTCCGACACTATGGATCATTATCCTAAAATGCGGAATTCCGTGTGGGCATTGAGGGTTGGACGCACACACACACACACACACAT